TTAAATTTTGTTATTTTTCAACTTTGGGGTGTCCATGGATACCCTCCCATTTAAGGTCGTTTTGCCACTTATGCCCGTGTGTTATTGTGGGTTTTTTTTTTTTTGCAATCTTTATTCACCAATTTTTTCTTGAAAATTTTACCTAATTTAAAAAGGGAAAAAATAAAAAATACAAAGAACGTAAATGGGAATGACACGTGGACATAAAATTGGTTTCATATTCTCACAAAATATATTTTATAAAAATAAATTTTTTATTTTATTTTTTTGTGTCTGAAACCCACTAATACTAAGCCTTCAAAAAAACTAATGAATACATATATATATATATATATATATATATATATCATAGGGTGACAAGGAACAGAATATTATAAATCTACTTTTAATCCTCTCTACATTTTATAAAAAAATTGACTCTAATTGATTTAATATTGATTTTTTGTAAAATCGCCCATATCAAATCGAAAGGGATAATATTCTATCCGATACTAATTATTTTATAATCCTTATCAATCGATTTATTTTGTTATAAAATTGATTTAATTAAAAAAATAAAAAATATTTTAAAAAAAAAAGCGAAAGGAAATAAATAAATGGAGGTATTACATTGACAACTCCATTAATATTATTTTCTTACAAAATTTATTTAATTAAAAAATAAATAAACAAACAAAAGCAAAAAATCATTTTTTAAAAAAATAACAAAAATTCACCATCGAATTGAGTCATTAGGTACAAATTGTTTATCCATCCATCAATTCCTTTTGTTCCAAAAATTATGCAATTAAAAAAAACCAAAAACAAATGAAAGTAAACCAAAACCAAAACCTAATAAGGGTATAAGCATCTCAATTGGCTATGTTTTCTTACAATATTAATTTAGTAAAAAGGCATAAAAAGGAAAAGAAAATAAAAATAGAGCTCATTAGAGTATTATGTGAATATTCTAATTGAGTTTAAAATATTTTTAAATTAAGATATAAAAAAAATTTTTAAAGAGATCATTGCGGCATCTTATGGATTCAAAATTGAGTATAAAAAGTGTTAATATCTTAAATCATACAACTCTTAATGTGATTATTCTAACTATAGTTAGTATCATACAAGTTAAAATCATAATGAGGATCGTCATTGTCAATCTCAATTTTTTGATTTTTACTATTAAAATATGAAAAATAATTATCCTGATTACTATCATTATCTTGATTACTATCCCTAATTAAAACCCTAATTCGGTTGTCAGCGGAAATGAAATTCATAAAACTGATTCCACTCAAGCAAGAATAGTTTCTCCTTCGCTTGCTTTTGTCTTCCTCTAGCAACCGATTCTTTTCTTCTTAACTGACTGAACCATTAGGAGGGTATTCTCAAGCCGCTGATTCGATAGCATTTGTCGGGATTCACCAAGAGCTTTTTCTTTCGTTGAGCAGCAATCCGTTGTTTCTAAAGAGTATATCTTCTTTTAGTTACAGATTGGATAAACTTGAATTTATTCAAATATTAAAATTATTCAAATTATAATTACAAATCAAATTAATTTAGAGATTTTTTTTAATTAAAATTTTGAAATATAGATTTTATCCGATTAATTTTAATTTTTACCAAGTAACCTTATTTTATAAATTATTTAATTATGAAAATCTTTCAACATGATTAAAGACTATAACGATTAAGTTTATTAAAAAACTCATTATATTCTTTTATCTTAATTTGTATCCAATAAAAATTATTTTTAAAAATTACATAAAATATTGAAAATTCAAATAGTATTTTTATGTTAAATCTCTAAATAATAGGATTTATATCCATCTCAACTCTAACTATCAATTTTATATTTAAAAAAAAATAAGAAATTTGATTTAATTTTTATTACTTATTATATCCTTTTAGTTTTTTAAAATATCAAGTTGAAAATTATCTATTCAATTTTAAATATCATCCAAGATTATAAATATAATGTGTTATATCACTTTCTTTTTTTTTTTTTTGATTTGCAACTTTGTGGAATTAAGTTGCTATTACAATTTACTTTTTTGGCTTTTTTCAAGATATATTATGTTACTGTTGCAAGTTTGTTCTTATGAAAATTAATATTTTTTTAATTTATTTTTCTTTTTTTCATGCATCACCTAACACTTTTCATATTTTGTACAATAATTTGAATAAGATTAAAAAAGTGAAAGTATGTCTATATATTTTTATTATTTAATTCATCATTCAAAAATATATATATGTTTTTGTTATTTTAAGAAAGACATGTAATTTATATTTATTTGATATAAATTTTAAGAGTATAAATATTATTGCAAATAAAGATGATGCGTTATTTTCTTCTTGCTTTTTTAAAAAAATTTATTTTTTATGAAAACTTAGTGAGATAGAAAATTTTTTATATATTATAAATTTTAAAATTTTGAATATAATTTTAAAAAGAATACTAATTTATATGTATATACACATGAAATAAGTAAAAATATTCCGTATATCACACAAATCACAATCTAGTTAAGGTATAAAATAATGACTTTATTAATATAATACATATATAAATATAAAATTAAATATAATATAAAATATATGCTTTTATATATTCACGAAATGACTTAGGGCCAAGAACCCTAAATCTATTTTTGACTCATTTTTGCTTTTTATAAAAAAAATCGATCCGATTTGATTTGATATCGATTTTAACAAAAACATTCATATCGAATCAAAATAAATCGAAACATATCGAATACTAATTGTTTTGTTATCCTTATCAAACGGCTCTTTTGTTGTAAATTTGAGCTAATTAAAAAACACAAAAAAATGAAAGAAAATACACATAGGGATACATGGACATTTCTATTAATATTATGTTCTTACAAAATTTATCTAATAAAAATAATAAATGAAAAAAAGTAGAAAGAAATTTATTTTAAAAAAACCAAAAAATTGCATCTGATCTATTTAAATCTATCGAATATAAATTATTTTGACATCTCTATTTATCGGCTTCTTTTGTTGCAAAGCTTATATAATTAAAAAAATGAAAGAAAAAAAGGAAAAGAAGAAAGGAAAGAAATATAAAATGCCATGTTAATACCTTGAATGAGAGTCAAACAAAATGTAAAATGAGTAGAATTTATATAATGAATGGATGGATTACATCTTAATTATTTATAAATATAGTATTTTTATTAAATTAAGATATTAAATAATAAATAATTAATATAATACATAAATATAAAATAAAATAAAATAATTATTTAAAAAATTTTTTAAAAAAAAGAAAACAAATAACTTAATACGTTACATACTTTTTGTATCAAATGGATAAGAAAAAAATTTTAAAATATTTAAAGTATTCATTAAATATAGAAAAAAAAAAAAAAAAAGAAGTGAACTCACACATACCATCAACATCAGAAGGGTCCTATACAATAAAATAAAGTTTTTTTGAAAAAGAAAAAAATGAAAAAAAATGGTATAAAGTGGATTCTACCTTAAAAAAATCTTTAAAAATTATTAATTAAATATTTTTTAAAAATTAGAAAAATAAAATAAAACAAAATAAGAGGGGAAAAAAAAAGATGGAAGAGAGAAAGTGACATGTAGCATTTTAAGAATGAACTACTATTAATCGTACATGAGTAACTGATAGATGGATACTACATTAAAATTCTTTTAGGTTATAATAAGATTTCATTTTTAAGGAGCACTCTTGTTTGCTTAGAACTTATGAGGTTCACATTTTTTATTTGGATCAATGGAATTCAATAAGTTTTACATATCTCCAAAATATATAAATGATTTTATTTTAAAAAGATATATAACTGATTTATCCGAACGGAAAATATCTCCATTTTATAAAATAAATTTATTAAATTAAAAAAAAAAAAAAACTGAACACTTCAGGTTTTTTCGTTTCTTTTCTGGAACTTAATTTCCACAATATGTAGGGTATGATACATAGTATTCTAACCAGATGCTCAATTCAGCAACAGGTGAAAAGTGAAAACTGTATGGACCATTTCTAGTAAAAGAAAAATCAGCGTACTTAAGTCCCTTGGAGCTAAAACTATTAGTACCTCTCCGACCAAATTTATTGCAACCCAAAAACAATATAGACAGAAGCATTAATGCAATAGTCGGACACCTTCTGCATGAAACTTATGGAAATGGACCAACCGCTAATAAAATTCTGTTCCAATCTTGTTGAGCCTGCTAATCTTTCTCGCCCAACCAATCGACCAGACACACTAAATATGTTAACTATATATGTTACTTTGGACCAAGGGGAAATCAGCAATTTGGACCACCCTAAGCCAGTAAGCCTGGTCCTCACTCCTTGGGGAGACTGGATTTACATAGGGAATGCCCCTTTCTATTTTTGGCAGACAAATAAATCAAGTCCCATTACAAATTTACAATAAGAACGTGGTCAACAAAAAGTAGCTGTAGCATATGTTACGTTATATGAAGTAAAAATGGTTCAGATATGAAAGCAGGAGCGAGTTGCCTACCCAGGCCCCCGCCCCCAACAAATTGAGTTAAGCCATTGGGCTTTAATTGCGTACACTGATGGTGCTCAATTCATTCATGTGACTATCCAATCTAAATCCGAAATAAAGAGCCCATGGCCTGAACTTGGAAGACCGATCGACCCAAGTTCACTGCTTAACGACCTATGAAGCTTGTTTTTGTTTCCTACAGGCTACATCTACATACAAGATCGAAATTTTGGCGTCACTACCAACAGCTACCAATCAACTTTTGCTAAGGATTTGAATATTTGTGATGGTTATATTATGCACCATTTCCCACTGCAAACCATGGATATGAAAAGATATAAGATTCAAAACGCCCAGTGCTAATTTTCCCGAATTAGGAGTTTATTTGGTTATAAAATTTATGAATAATTTTTTAAAATAATGAGATAATATACTTTTTTTTTTTTTGTAAATTAAGAAATTTTTAGATTTAAGTAGAATTTTTACATATAACGTTAGTTGATATATAATCCTACTGAAATTTAATAAAACAACCAACAAGACATAAAAACTAAAACATCATTATACTTGCAAACCAAACACTACTATAAGTATATTTAGAGCAAGCCTTGTGATTTGTATACACTTTTGTTTCAAAAAACAAACCCCCATTCACAGTTTTAATCACACCAAAAGACCTTCCAACAGCCAAAAGCAACGGATGACAAATCCACTTATCACTCTTTTAACATCCAATTCACGATATTCATCAAATCAACCATAACAAAATTACCATGCCATTATTTCCATATATAAACCAACACTTACTGGCCTGATTGAGAGATCCGACCCGGTGTCATATCCGACCCACTTCTACCCAATTCCTCCCCACCCGGCACCACCATTCCTGGGTAAACTGGCACCGGACCCGTATTTCTAACTCCATAATACACTGGTTGCTTCACACCATCAGGACCCACTCTTAATGCCGGGTCATAAGGATCCACGGGCGCAACTGGCCTATATACTTGACCAACACCAGGAACAGGCTGATGATACCCAACGGGTACTTGACCAGTTGAAATTGGATACTGCTGGTGCTGGACATATTGTGCCCGGATTTGAACGGGTTGAACCTGAGGGTTTCCGGGTTGAACAGGACCAGGAACATAATAAACGGGTATTTGCTGTACGGCTGGAGTAGAATAATGAGACTCTTGAACATAATGCCACATAGGAGTACCCGAATATGCCGTTGGCTGCGAAACAGGTTGCTCCACAAAAGTCTCCGTTTGATTCAATTTTGACTCCAAAACCGGTTCGGGGTTATCCGGTTTAGTCTTAACAGGTGGGAGATCAGGCATTGAAGGTACAATAGGAGCTGCTGATGAGGTGGAACAAAAGGGAGAAGAAGAAACAACCATGGCAGGAGAACCCGGGTCCGAAACCGAGACATTTTCATGCAAAAGCTGTCGGGTTCTTAATTTGGGGTCACGTGGTTGGGCCTCATCGGAGTTATCCAGCCCAAACAGATAATCAGGTACTTCCGACACAATCGAGGAAGCCTCGGAACGGCCACGTTCGAGCCCAGAAACGTTGGCCCCACTATTAAGCGCGTCTAAGAACCAGTGTTCACGATTAACCGAACCGTCCAAAAGTGAGCTGATGCTACTGGCTCGTGAGTCATCCCCTTTGGAGAACAGAAAAAGTCGCAGCCGAGCTAGCCGAGGGTTATGATTCTGTGCTAACCGATCGTATTCTTCCATCATGTTTTCAAGATCTTCATCGGTAGTCACTGAAATCAACGCGTCAAGATCCTCATTTGGAAGCTGATACTTAACACTCACGTTGCCAATTCCTAATCAGAAAAGAAAACAAGATCAGAATAAACGTGTTCATAAAATATTGAAAAAAGATTTTTTTTTTTTTGTAATTTTTTGGATTGCCTGAGAGTTTGGAGAGCTTGGTGAGGAAAGCTGAGAAAGAGGTGGAGCGATGGACGGCAACGATGCGTGTATCACCGCTAACGTAACGGAGCTGATTATCATGCGGACGAGGGAGGATCTTCCCACCGAAACTGCACATGAACCGTACGCGTGTATGGGCATCGTGGGGAGCATGGTGTTCGGAGCGTGGAGAGGACGCGACGGAATCGGTGGTGGAGTCTAGCTCGGAGAGGTGGTGCGATGACATGTTTGTTGGGGGGTGATAGCTACCTGTTGCTGTTAGAGAAAGGCTAAAAAAGTAAGACAGGAAAAAAAGAAAGGTTTTTTATTATGTTGGATTCTCCGTTGAAGATTGTTGCTTTCTGTCCAAAGAATGTCTGCGTCTGAACTCTGGGTGAATTAGGGGAAGCGGCTGTGACAAATCAGATAAGACAGACGAATGTGGACCGTTGATTTTTTTTTGTCTTTTCTATGGTCCTACAAGAATTGGCCCACATGATGTGGATAAAAGGAGGTGATTGTTGCGTGATTGCCTTGCTGAACAGGGCACAGCGAATACCAATCGTTTTCAGTTTTGAAGCCGGCGGTGGTGGGCCGCGGGATTAGAGTGGGATATTAAAGAAAAAATTGTTTGTGGTGGGCTTCCTTTGTATAATCTGGTACATAAAATGGCAAAGTTGAAATATAAAAATTGTAGAATGACTCTACTGCTAAGCCACTGATCCTTTAATAATGATTTATGAGTTAGTTACTACCAACTGTTAATTTTGATTAAAAAATCATTTAATAGCAATGCTTTGACCAACGGTTGTGTAATTAGTAAAATACTGAATTTTAATTTTAATGATTAAAATTCAATTCTTATAATCTTAAATATGAAAAAAAAAAAATATTGAGATGTTGATTAGAAACCTCAATTATTGGATTTTTGGAGGGAAAAAGCCAAAAAGCAACAAAAATCAGTAAAATTTTGTAATAGACTCGGTTTTATTAAAATTGTTGTAGTTTTTTTAAGTACAAATATAATCTATATAAGTATTAAATTAACAAAACTAGAAGTAGTATGGTCTCGTCTCTTCTAAGTCTTAAAGTTTTGAACTAATGAAATATTAGGATCATCGGAATACTCAAACCAGCGAATTTTCTCATCTTGATTGCAATTTGTTGGTGCCAAATAAAAAAAACAAGTCTAACTTCGACTTTTCTGTAAGTAATTTTATGGACCCACCTTTCACCTGCCCAATTATGTCACCAACGATGATGACACAAAGATTCTGGACACTCAGACATGGAAGATGAAACCCAATAGACCTGGCTCTGGCTGGCCCCGGTTAGCAACGGGGACTCATCTTGAGAGCCGTAAAATCAAAATCTAAAACAGAGACGAATAATAATAACCAAAATCTTCACTTTTTTTCAGGCAAATAGCAAGATATTCGTGACTCTTATATCTAGGCAAGACAACAATAAGGAAAACAACAGCAACAAAGATTTATTAAACTAAGAGGCTCTCGATGCTCTCATCTTTTTCCAGCCCAAATGCCACTACCAATCTGACCATATGGCAACAAAAGTATTCTCATCTCATCGTCAATGATCAAACTTGAATTTCTATAAGCAAGCAGATGAGTACATGACAGAAATATTAAATACCCACTACCCATCAAAGATTAAAAAAAGAAGAAATCGTTTCAAACACCAAATGAAATTGAATATAAAGATCAAACTTACCAGTTATAAATAAATTTCTGATGATTTCTGCTTTGAATTAAATTGAGGAAGAAAATAGCCCAGCAGCAGCAGCAAGTCTTGATTCTCAGTCTCCTCTCACCCAGAGAATGGAGTTGGAGCCTGGAAAGCTAGATGTTAGGTATGGGAGTTGAATCATGTAGGGGCAGCTACATCTGATGTGGGTCCATGCATGGGGCCCGGATGTCACTGTCTGAGTGTAAGCATCAACGTGGCCACCAGTCAGCCCTTTTTGTCCCTCAGCTAATGCTACGCTCACTGACTTTCTTGTAAATTTCTCCACTGCCCAATCATATCACCTTACTTAAAAGTTGCCCAAGGTCAGTTTAGACTTGATACTGCTACCGTTAGATAATATGTGCTGATTTTAACGAGAAAAGGTATTTGAAATTTAATTATTACCATAGTCTATCATTGATGGTTATCGTTTATAATTTTATATATGTATATATATGCAAGACTTCTTATTCTTCTACACATTTATTCATTGGTGAAAATAAACTGTCAAAAGCGAATTATTATAATGTTCATACATAATTCTTTTTAGATAGTGCTATAAAACAAAGTATATACTTGTAGATTAATTCAAAAAATAATACTAATTAATTAAAAAATTAAAGTTGTTGACTGCCGTCAATGCATTAAATAAACACTTTTTCTTTAGCAAGTTGATGAAATTCTTGCTATTAATACCAGCAAAGGATGAGCACTAGTTGAGTATGATCGAATAAATTGATTGAAATCGACTTCATTCTATTAAATTATTTTGAGCGGTTATGATATCATTCAATATATTAATACATATCACTTTTTAAAATTAAAAAAAAAAATTTCGAATGGTTTTCCCCCACCTGTTTCAACAAGTTATAAGTTAAATCAAAATATTAGTATTTTGTTATTGGCAAGTTGGGGACCATTGATAGGACGTCTATCTTTATATCTAGTTTGGTCGGTGACTAAAATTCACTTGGAGACAAGGACTTCTACGCATATTGGCCTCTAAAGGTTGAAGAAAAAGGTGAACCTGTATTAAGCAATACATTAATAATAAGCCACTTGTTATTAAGACAACTATAATGGAAAGGCGTTTGGTTTTTGAAGAAAACTCGTTACTCTCATGAAGTAATTGAATTAAATTCTAAACTCCATGATATGTTTTTGTCTTTCTTTTCTTGTTGAAATGATGAGTATTACAATAATTCAAATTTCAAAATCATCAACGTCATGTGTTTTCTATTTGATACTCAGACGAAAAGGATAGCTATGAATTAATCCAAACCCAATTGTTTTGGTCTGGCCCAGGAAACTGAGAGCTGGTCCTTCCAAGTTCGACCACTCGCTTTGGGCTTTCACTGCTAATTTGGACAATGGTTAGAAGACATTAATTTTTTCCATGTATTCTTTCAACTTATCGTACAAAAAAAATTACCAGATACAATTAAATTGCATCAATCATTATTCGTATGAAAAAATTAGCAAAAAACCAAAATTTACGTATCACTTGGTTCGTCAATATGAAAGATTGAATGATTTTTTAAATATTTGAGATTATGATTGCTAAAATTTTAACCATAGGAGGATGAACAAAAAGTTTAACCATTTTGTTTTGTTAGAGAAAACTTGTGGTTGTTGAATCCTCTGGAATATTCAAAAGTCACCAAAAGAAGAAAACTTGTGGTTGTTGAATCCTCTTGGATATTCAAAAGTCACCAAAAGAAGACAGAAAACCATGCAATTCAAAAAGATGGATCATATTATGGACGTATCCTGATGAATTTTCTCGGGTTGTCTGTACGTTGTAGCTAGTAATTCTTAGTTGTGAAACTTCCCCATGTCACCATGGGCTAGTTCTCGAGGAAACAAAGAGTCAGATTCCTGAATGAATGCTTGAGAATCAGTGCAGCCAACTCAACTATTGCATCTAATCGCCTACGTTTGGTCCAGTTCTTATCACAATTCAAAGGTCATCATATGGCTTATGGTTTGCTTTTCACATTAATAAATTTCCACTCCTTTATCCCTCAATGCATATCCCGAGGTACACTTGAAGCCGATCATCCCTGACCCTAAGTTTCCTGATAAAAGAAAAAATGGTTGATGTTGGAACCTTTCTCATTTTCAGTTGAAAATACAAAAGCCATAATGTTGACAGCTAATATGTATCCTTTATATCGGGTCTTTGCATCTTTATTTTATATCTACAACGACTGTTGTTCACATTGGTTGGGCACTAAAAAATATGGCCAATCTTTTTGACTTCCTCATCCTTTGGATCGCCAAATTAGACTCTTAATAAATCTTTTCTGTCTGTTCATTGTCTTGCCGAACTATAAGTCAATCATCATTAATTCAAACCAAATTAGACTCTTAATAAATCTTTTCTGTCTGTCTATTGTCTTGCCGAAGTATAAGCCAATCATCATTAATTGACCCTTTTATTATATTATATTATACTATAATAGTAATTAAATAATAATTATCTTATATGAAAGCTAGTAAAATTTTTGGAAAGAAAAAAATAATTGTGAATGACATGAGGATAATATTAAATAATTATAATGTATTTATTATTTAATATTTTAAAATTGATTTAATTCGTTTTGATTTTGATCAAATTAATTATATTTATATTTAATAACTTAAAATTTTCTATCAATTAATTGATTTAATTTTAATCAAATTAATTACATTTACTTTAATACATTAAATCTCTCTCAATTAATTTTAATTCTTAATTTAATTTGATACGTGTTTGGATAGCCTAAGTTTTTGACGTGTATAATATTAAATAATTACAATGTATCCATTACTTAATATTTTAAATTTGATTTAATTTGATTTGATTTTCACCAAATTAATTGTATTTATATTTAATATTTTAAATTTCTCTATCAATTAATTTTAATTCTTAAATGATTTATTTTAATCAAATTAATTACATTACTTTAATACATTAAATCTCTCTCAATTAATTTTAATTATTAATTTAATTTGATTTTGATTAAATAAATTATATTTACTTTTAATCCTATATGTAAATATACAAAAGGCAAAAGCTAAAGTCTTCGACAAAAATAATTACCTAGAGTATAATAATTTTTTAATATGTGCATAACCTTGAATAATTATTATGTATCCATTATTTAATGTCATTAATTTGAGTTAATTTGATTTCATTGTGACAAAATTATATAAATTTATATTTAATAGCTTAAATTTCTCTATTAATTAATTTGATTATAATCAAATTAATTATATTTACTTTTAATAGATTATGTCTTTTTCAATTAATTTTAATTTTTAATTTAATTTAATTTTGCTTAAATTAATCAAATTTATTTTTAATAGCTTAAATCTTTCTTACTTAATTTTATTTGGAATTTTTTATTGGCTGTTAAATATTATCTAATAGGGGTTTAAGTAAAAGAAACAATAATACTTAATCACGCTTTAAAAGAACTATTCATGCTATTTATACCATATGTGTAACTTAAGTATAAGGTATTAAATGTCTATTTTGATATTTTAATTTTAATTTTATTATATATGTACTAAAACAGAAATTATTTGATATACTGGCAGTTTAATTTTTTACTTCATAAACAGAATTCAAATGATAACATATGTATTATTTCTTTTTTTAAATTAATTTTTTTAAATATATAAAGAAATCCTACTTGTGAAATTAAAAAATTTCATTGTTAGTGTATTTAATAATTTTTCATGTTAAAATACCTAAGATTAATGTTATTTTAAAGCAAATTTTATATATTATATTTTGTTATTTTTTATATTAAATAACTTTAAATATATAAATTTTAAATTATTCATAAATATAAAATTTTATTTTATAATTTTAAAAAATTATGTTATATATAAATTTATTGATATATAAATATATTATCATATAATATACCTATATCGTATATATCTCTATCGTACATGTATCACATGTATCACATCATATGCGTATTCAAGTATCAGTTTAACCAAATATTATAATAAAAAGTTTTTGTGACATTATAATTGAGTTGCACAATTTGAATATTTTATAACTTAATTATAAGTATAATCAAGAGATGAAAATCTTAAAATTTTCATGATCTTAACCTTATTCTCTTCATTCATAATAAAATGAAATTTCAATTTGCAAACCATTTTTTGGGTACATTTATGTCCATTATTTTTATTCATTGCTTTTTAATAAATTCGTCGTTATTATTCATGCGTATAAAACCTATTCCTAAACTGAACTTTAATGATAGTAAATAAATTTTTTTAATTAAAATTGAGTTATTGAAGTTACTTACAATACGCATTAATTTCATCCAAAAGAATTCTTTGGTAAGAAAGTAGCATTTGCATTTGATTTGTATGGGAAGAATCCGTTGTAAATAGAATCCTTCTTAAATTATTCCTAATCTTGTGTTGATTGCATTCTCCATTTTTATTGTGTTCATGATTCTGGATCCAGAAAAATATACCCTGGTAACAGCAATTCTCTATCTTGCCACGCAGCCACATATTCACCGGGACAACCTTTTTTGAACAAAAGATTCTTTCCATACACTGCACCTTTTTCTTCTCCATTCACTTACTCGTAGCTCTTTCTTTTTCAGCCTTAGTCTTCCATCCATCATAAATTGCAATGAATTTTCATTTCTTAAAAGCCCAAAGAATCTCTACATCTTTTTCCTTTCTGCTTTCCCCTTTCTAAATTCCATATCTCAGTCGCATCTTCTCTTCACACCTTGTATTCTACTCTGCCTTGTATTCCACTCTTCAGTGTTCACACTTCACACCCATCAGCTCTTTTTTCTTTTTTTGTTTTTTGTATTTTTTTATGTCAATATATTATATATATTTCCATTCTTGCATGTGGCCTTGCTGTTATTACTTTATATATTTCATATTTAATTATTATTTCTAGGTATTATAGCACTTCGTTTTCCTTTTAGGTAGTTTTATATTGCATTGACCATTCATTTATTGCAATATGTATATCCTTTTCATTTGATATATTTTTCTACTTGAAGAATACCCAGTTTTCATTATCACGGCAGAGTAATTCTTATCACCTTGACTTCTTACGTGCTCGCATTTTCAGATTGCATTCATTGGATGAGTAGTCAGTTCATTGAGAAAATTAAAACTATATACTTTTTTCTTTTTTGACAGAAACTTTCTGCAAATTGCAATATTTATTCACTTTTCAGTTTTTGTTTCTTTCTCTGTATTTGTTATAAGAAACCGTTTTCATTTCCTGAACTTTGATATCCGTTTTAGAGGAAACAGGCATGACTATTGCGGATGGAGGAGAGTTGCCTGCAAGGCTTGAGGTTTATGCTTTCTGTTTTGTTGTTTTTTCTTTTTCATTGGCAGTATCGGAGCTTAGGATTCCTCTTTAATTTAAATAAATGTAATATTCACTCAGTTTTCTGTGCAAATTAATCAGGGGAAATTTTGTGCCATGGTAGTTTGTTGGATTCTTGGATTTGGATCTCTTATCTCTTGGAATAGCATGCTGACAATTGGAGATTATTTTTACAATTTGTTCCCGGTTTGTAACCTACTCTTACTTTCTTTTTCATGTTGAAGATGGAAATCACTGTTGCTCAATTTAAATAAAATTCTCTACTTTATATGTGCAAGTTCTTCTCTTGAAAGTTTGAGTGCAGCCAAATTAGTTTTTTTGATGCCACAGCAAATAAAAAGTAGAGACAGAGTACTCTATTAATTACTTGACTTTGAGGACAAACAATTTCTTTGCTCCACCATTTATCTTGTGTCACCACTCCTAAGAATTGAATGTCACTGTTGTATAAATATATTTTATCAGAATCTCATTAAAAATGGGTTTATAAGATCAGTTAGTGATTTGCTTTTACACTTGAAGAATTACCATCCTTCAAGGGTGCTTACCCTTGTTTATCAACCATTTGCACTTGGAACAATGGCGATACTGGCATACAACGAATCAAGGATTGATACTAGACGGAGGAACATTATTGGATACTTGCTTTTCTTTGCAAGTACTTTCATGCTCATAGTGGTAAGTGCTCCAATATTTTATATCCAGTTCTTGATTTTCCATGTGCTCAATCCACTTGAATCTCCCACCACTGATTCAAAATAACCTCTATTTTGCCATAACTTTTATGACAGTTGGATTTAGCCACATCAGGGAGAGGAGGAATTGGACCTTTTATAGGTATATGTGCAATTGTAGGCTGTTTTGGAGTTGCAGATGCCCATGTTCAAGGTGGAATGGTTGGAGATTTATCTTTCATGCTCCCTGATTTCATCCAGGTCTGTTTTCTTTGACTTCTTTAATACTTTATTGCAACTTCTCATTTTTATCCCAAGGTTTTCAGCACTTGACTTAATCCTTAGTACTAGTTGGTTTTATGATCCAGTCCTTCTTTGCTGGTCTGGCTGCATCTGGGGCCTTAACCTCTGCTTTGAGGCTAATCACAAAAGCAGCATTTGAAAAGTCTGATAATGGTCTTCGTAAAGGAGCAAGTATGTGACTGTTATTTACTATTAGACAAACTACCTATTGCGAGTGAACTTCTAAATTTATGCATTTTTTTTACAAAGACATCCCTAGATTTGCTGTCTTCGGATGCAAAACTGTAAACAAAGTGAATGCTTTTCAGTTTTTATTGAAAACAATTTTCTTTTATTGACTCTTCTTTTCTTTTTGGCAGTGTTGTTTCTTGCTATTTCTACATTCTTTGAGTTTCTTTGCGTCCTGCTGTATGCATTTTTCTTCCCTAAATTGCCAATAGTGAAGTACTTCCGCTCAAAGGCAGCCTCAGAAGGATCAAAAACTGTTAAAGCTGATCTTGCAGCAGCTGGAATCCGAACAAAAGAAGACCAAGGAGTACTGCAACCTTCTGCTAGTGTCATATTTGTGAAACTTTTTTGACATTTCATAAACTAATAGTTTTTGGCATTTCGACAGCTTGAAGACAATGCTAAACAGAATGAGAGATTGAGCAACAAACAGTTATTCCTTCAGAATATAGATTACGGGCTTGACCTTTTTCTGATATACGTCTTAACATTGTCAATTTTCCCTGGGTTCTTATATGAAAACACTGGTGAACACAAGTTGGGTACATGGTAATTATTCATTTCTTGACTAGAATAAGTACAAATTGTATACTTTTTATGGTATTTGAAGATTTGTCTGCTCAGGATCAGACTGGTTTTGCCACCATTAATTTTTACTTTCTATATCCATAACAATTGCTATTTGGAAAAATGTTTCAACGGCCCATTGAACTTGGTCTTTACTGCATGATTCCCATCTGTTTGAAAGTTTTTATGGCACTAGCATTACATATAGATATGTGCACAATTTTATCTACTTGGAGTATTTATCCAAGTAATTGAATAGTTGTAAGCCCTTAAAGGCATTTGACTGTCAAGGAAAAACTTCCTTAGTAATTGTCTTCCTGGGTAATTGCTTTCTAAACTGAAGATAAATTCCTCTTATGATTGGAACTTTTAGGTATCCTCTTGTGCTGATAGCAGCTTACAATGTGTGGGATCTGATATCAAGATATCTTCCTCTAGTGAAATTCCTTAAGATAGAATCCAGGAAGGGCCTTATGATTGCAATACTTTCTCGTTTCTTACTGATCCCTGCTTTCTACTTCACTGCCAAGTATGGTGATCAGGGATGGATGATACTGCTTGTATCCTTCCTGGGATTAACAAATGGTCACCTCACGGTCTGTGTCATGACAGCAGCCCCTAAAGGTTACAAGGTTAGTCTTAGCATAGTCTTTGCAGTAAATCTTTTTTTTTTTTTTCTTTTACATGGTTGAAATCTGATACAAATCTTAGTATTCTCATTAATTTCTGATGAAAATTTATCCTTTTTCTTTTGGCAGGGACCTGAGCAAAATGCCTTAGGTAATTTACTAGTACTATGTTTACTAGCTGGCATATTTTCAGGTGTTGCTTTGGACTGGTTGTGGCTCATTGGTAAAAAGAATGCCTTCTAAAGATCCAAGTCTATCTTGTTATCCAATGAAAAAAGTTGTTCTTTCCTAACTGCAGAAGTGTTCAAGCTTGATAAAGGATAGAATTTTAGTTTGCCAGTCTTTCCTAACTGCAGAACTGTTCAAGCCAGTCTTTATAAATCATCATTTTAGTGTTTCCTACTACGCATCTATCCATTTTCCAATTTCCATACCCTTTTTCTATCATAACTGAAGTGACCAAGAAACTCAAGCTTTCTTATGCTTAAACCTAATTGAGACGACTAGTAATTTGCAGTTAGGTCTAGTCGTTGACTGAATGGTTCAAACTCTAATGTTGCAAATGAATAAGTTTTAAAGAGTTCCAGAAGTTGTAGCATAGACAGTGGGAAGATCCACCGATCCACGCAACTCATGATATAATCAAACAAAAATTTTGTCGATTTTTTTTCTCTACGTTCTTTTAACCATCAGGATCCTAGGAGAGAATATGAGGACTTAGACGTGGCTGCACCTGCAATTCTCTATGGAATAAAATTAGATCATAAGTGGCAAATTATAAATGCATTACAATCCAAGTCAACTAAATTAAGTAAAGCCCTTTCCACACCATCCTTTGTACTGCAACCTCAATTCAATTGGAATGTGCCCCTAAAGTATAGGTTAAAGATATACAAAATTAGTTATAATTCAGTTTTTCTTTGGATAGACGCAGTTAATTTTTACAGTTATAGTTTGATGGTAGCCATCATATCCGGCATTTCCATGAATCTTTCTTCTCATGCAAGTTTCCAATCATGCACAGAGGCTTTTCTTAAGAATCCAATTAACAGAAGATGCTTGAGAGTTCTTGAAGAAATCTCTCTGGCCATTTTAATCATATGAATATCAAAATGTTGCCTTCTAGCTCTAAATTTCTGAATGTTCTTTGCTTTATCTCCACTTCAACTTTACAATCCGATATCAAAAGGAAGGAATTAAACATCTATGAGCCTAACACCTCTGGTTTTTCTTCATCTTTCTTATTAGTTCTCTGAAGATGTCTTCTATTTTTTGCTTGTAAAATCATGGTATAGACCCGCACTTGTTTCTCATCAACTTTCATCTTCCTAGGTTTTTTTGTTACATTGTTCTGCTTTCGTTTTTAACGTAACACTGAATTTTTTGAAGTCATTAATCTTTGTACATTCTTCCTCTTTTCTCTTTGTTAATATTGATTTTCCATTTTGTTTTACATACCAAGAGAGAGGAAAAGCATCATTCTTGGTTTTCCAATCTGAAAAACCATTCCTTTCAATTTTGATTATTCATAAACTTCAACCGGTAGTCCATCAATATTTTTAGATGCCAAAGACTGATACAAAACCCAGTCCGATTGTTGCTTATCACAAAGAACCTATTCCAGTGGCATGGGCAAAACGTTAAATTGGCTGGACCAAATGAAATTTTGATGGATCTTGCAAAGCTAGAGGACAAGCTAGTATTGGAGGGGTATTCAGGAACCACAAGGCTGAATTCCTACTTGGTTATGCTGAATCTATAGGAAGAACAACTAGAACTATTGCAGAACTAGCCGTACTGCGAAGAGGCCTTGAGTTGGTTTTGGAAAATGGTTCGACTGATGCATGGCTTGAAGGTGATGCCAAGACATTGGTCGATATCATTATCAAGAGGAGGCAGGTTAAATGTGCCGAATTACAAAGACATGTTAGTCACATAAACTTGATTTCCGGAGCTGAACAATTGTATTGTGACTCATATCCATAGGGAAGGCAATAGAGCTGCTGATAAAATTGCCTAAAATAGGACATCAGCTGGAGAAACCACAAAATTGGTGGCACATTCCTCCAAATGAAGTTCTACATGTTGTGCATGAAGATGCAGAGGATAAGATCATTCCTCGCAGAAGATAAGCAGATTTTAGTTATATATATATAGTAAATGTAATTATTTTTGTTATTCATCTCCTAGACTATTTTTCTTCTTCTTCACTGATATTCTTAAACTAGGCATATTCATCTCCTTTTCCACATGTAACTTTACTATATATCCAATCAAGGAACCTTGCACTTTTTGCATTAATCCTGCAAAATTAAAAGCAGGTGTTAAACATCAAAGTAACACATTAGTTATAAAAACTATAGGCTTCCCTCCTTTATGGAAGATTGAAATGCCCTTTTATTAAAAGAGGTAAAAAGCTGGTCAATGGAAGTATGCTAACAACAGAAAATTATCATAGTTCTACCATTTGACCGACCAATCAAGTGGTCCCTACTGAGAGCCTGAACTTCAGATAAATCTTTTATTTATACTACTATCTATAAAAAGAGTCTCGGCTTAAAGACAGATTTTTTTTTTTTTTAAAGTGATTTAGTGGGTTTTGAGATGTTAGGGATTATGGATAAGCTTTTTACACATGATAATTACTATTTTTTTGGATTTAGTGGGTTTTGATGTGTGATAATATGAGTTGTTTTATAAGTTAGATTTTTAAAAAGTTTATTACTGTATAAGTTTTTTACATATAATAGCTGTCTATTTTTTTAGATTTAATAAGTTTTTAGATATGAGAAAATAAGACATGCTTTTTTAGTTGAATTTTGTTTGAGAGAGTCTGTTTTTGTATATATATTTGTTTCATCCCTTTGTTTTATTTGGTACAAAAAACAAAATTATAATATTAACTTTTAATTTCTCACTAAATTATAATTTTTTATTTCATATATAAATACAAATATAATACATTTAAATATATTTAATTCTATCCTTATAATACGCTGTAAAAAATTATTGACCTCAACGAATTCCAAGCGAAACGGGATTAGTTTACTAGTAAACTATAAAAAGAACATCATGGTAAACCAGACCGTGAAGTCGGTAGTTGGATGTTGGGGGGTTAAATGTAGTACAAGATTGAAGATTCCAGTACAGGAAATCAGTACAGCCTGAAAGTCTCTCAAACAAAGGCAAGCTCATTCAAACCCCCAGAAAAAAGAAAGGGAATAAATATTTTGCTAACATGTTGAAGGGAGATGCTGTTGTCCAGTTTGGCAAAGTGATATGGAAGTACAAATCAAATTCAAAGTTACATGTACTGCAACTCGTATAGGAGCCTGTTCTGCATTACATAGATATTGGATGGATAGTCCGCGATTCTTGGATTGCAGCTGAAGCAAAGGTTTGGGGATTCCCAGATGGAAGAAACGTCATTGAGTGCAGCGTTGATGAATTCTTTCAATTTCTGGGAGGAATTCGCCAGCGCTACATTCAATCATGTTTTTTTGCTCTTTCTTGAACAAAGGCCATCAAGTCTCGAGAGAATATAAATTTTATGGTTTTATCTCTCTTCGTTGTTTGTTACCCTTTTCAGCCTTTTTCTCCAATATTTTGGAAATTATAACCTCAGCAGCAATTCTTCAGTTCTCGATGAAAAATTGAAAAATCAATTAGTTCTTCCATGTTAGTTTTCCCTTCTCAGGAGATTGGGATCCGAACGATCAAAGTTTATTCAAATGATGTATTGTAGAATTTCAATAGCTTAATTGAAATACCAATGATAATTCATCACATTTGACTAATCAAATCAGGCAATCTGTGGTAAGTGGTAACGCCATATCTCCAAACAACAGTGGCACCATTTGTTTTTGTAGGACTCCAGAGACCAGAAAACCACAATTTCCAGGTTAACAAATCCTGCTATCTTCTTGCTGTTCCAGATCAAAACAAATGCCAACTGCACAACAACTAGTCTGATGATGATTACGCCAATACCGATGATTCATGTTAAAAGCAAAGCAGCATGCAACATTGGAACCAGAGATAAATGGGCCCTCGAGTTATACAAAGTCTTTTCTCTTTGGTCTATTCAGTATCTCGAGAAACGGATAAGTTTCAGAGTTCCAAAATTTTTGCATAAAGTAGTGCAATAACTATGCAAATTGCTGTAAATCATAATCAAAACCATGAAATTGTTACTATAGTAGCAAGTGTATAGGATTGGAATAATAATGCTAGAAATTAGATTAGATTTTGTAAATGGATGGGTGGTTTCTGCTTCATGCCCAGAGAAAGATTGGTGGTATAAATTGAATCAACAGAGGAACTTCTTTGATCGGATAATTGACCACTATTTGAACAAAGCCATAGTAACCATTTTGTTTACCGGGACTTGCAACTTAACAGCTTATGTTTTTCCTTTTTTTCCTTTTGTGATTGCTGTAGAACCATTGCTCTTATTTCATTGTTGTAATAAATCTGTGCATTAAATAAACTGTCAGTTTTACTTGTAATGACAGCTGATATGATAGTGGTTATCAAAGAAAACACAAGTTAGAATATGCTGCCAAAAAATAGTATCTAATCTGATAATCTTAGAGTGCCACTATCCTGGTATGATCACTACCAGAATTATTTCCTGATTGTAATGCTTTACTTTGAACCATATCATAAACTATCAGGTAAGAACCAAAAAATTTTCCATGTAAAACACCACAACGGAAAATCTGCACCAGAATTTCTCAAACAAACCTGAAATGATTCATATCAGACATTTCTTCTGCATCATATGTTAAAAAACCATGACCAATATCTTCTGCTAAAAAAAAAGAACTGATTAAAATGCAAATACAACTCAACTTCTTACTGCAATTGGCAATTGCCATTCAAGTTAGACAATCAAACTATCATCTGATTAGCTGGTGCATACTCAAATTTCATTAACATTTGCACTACTGCTGATATGATTTTCAGCCCAGCAGCCAGAGCAATGTTCTTTAAACAACCCCCCCCCAAAAAAAATTAAAGAAAAAAATCCCAACAAAAAGCTAAAGAGGCGTTTCTGAAAAAGAATCTGTCATAAATACATCTATTAACGCTTATTTGTCAACACTCAAAAAATGCATTTTCAAAAAAAAAAAAAAAAAAAAACCCGAAGAGACTCCCTAATTGTCTGCTTGTCAAACTCCCGATCAAAACTTCCTCTCTATGCACCATTTGGAAAGTTTTCAAAACAACTGGACTCTTATCTTTCCTCAAAATTACGATATCTGCCACTTTCCCTTCACTCTCTCACTCTACTACTCCAATAAACCCTACTCTCAACTCTTTTTACCCTTCCTAAAAAAACCCCTTTCTCCTCTTTCCCCTCTAAACCCAAACCCTCTTCCTTGTTTTCTCAAGAATCCCATTAATTTTCCGGGAAAAGAAAAAATTTTCCTGGGAAATCAGAATGGAGGAAGAAGGTGCTCTGCCAGACCATCTCCGTTGCAAACGAACCGACGGGAGGCAATGGCGGTGTAAGCGACGAGTAATGGAAGGCAAAAAGCTGTGTGAGATTCACCATATCCAAGGCCGTCACCGACAAAAGAAACAGAAAGTACCAGAATCCCTCAAAATGCAAAGGAAAAAGGGAAAAAAGAAAGGTTTCGAGAAGAACAAGCTCGAAATTAGGGCAAAGTTGCTGAAATTAGCCGGGCCAATGAAGCGAAAGAGGGTGATCGGAAGGGAATCTGAGGCTTTAGACGAAGCTGTTCGGAAGATGAAACTGAAGAGAGGAGATTTGCCATTGGAGCTCATAAGAATGGTTTTGAAAAGAGAAATTCAGAAGAAGAAAAGGAAAGAAAGTGATTGTAGTGATTTTGATGAAGAAGAAGAAAAAGGTGATTTAATGAGAGAATTGCCTAATGGGTTAATGGCTATTTCTTCTTCAAGTCCACATTTTGATAATGCTGGTTCATGTTCCGGTTCTGGTTCGGGTTCAGGTTCTGTTTCAGGTTCTTGTTTTAATGTTAAAGTAGGAGAAACTGAAACTGATACTGTTGCAATTACCAGAAGGCGGTTTCGGTCTAAGAACATTGAACCATTACCTGTTGGTACATTGCAGGTATTATTTTGTTTTGGTTTTGGTTTTAGTTTTGGTTTTTTTGTTCTGTTTTCCGAGTAATGGTTTTTTTTTCCCTTAACTAAGGTTGAGCCTTATAAGAAGAATGTGGTGAATTTGAGGAGAGGGAGAAGTATAAGGTGCCACTGGTGTAGAAAAAGCGGTGTTCGTAGTTTGATCAAGTGTTCCAGTTGTAGACAGCAGTTCTTTTGCTTGGATTGCATAAAAGAACAGTGAGTTATCTTTTCTGTTTTTGGTTTTGTTTGCATTGTGATTGTAAAGTAGTTATATGTTTGGTTATTAATGAAGAAAGCAAATGTATAATACATGGATACGAATAGTATATCAAAATGCAATAAATTTAAGGTATAAATACCTGTTTCAGCCACTCTGGAAGTTATTATTCACCTAGTATCTCAACTATTTGTATGGACCTTCCAGAAATAGTGTTTTGGAGAATACTTTCCCAATCTGGCTTGAAATGATGCATTCAAAATGTATTTATTCTATGTCTCATCTCTTTGGTTTGAATGCAATCTGCAATGTTGGATTTGAGCCATTTGGTTGGAGTTATAAAATAGGTGTTGATTGACTCTTATGAGGTTAAAATGCATATAGGTATTTTGTTAAGCAAGAAGAAGTTAAGATAACTTGTCCAGTATGTCGTGGAACTTGTGGCTGCAAGGCCTGCTCAGTGAGTCAACATAGAGACACTGAATGTAAGGTCTGATTACATCTGAAACACTTCAATTTGACTTGCTGCTTGCATATTTCCATGCTAAGATTTGATGTTTTGCCTAATGCAAAAAAACATGTCTCAGGAGTTTCTAAGGGACAAAAACAAAGTGGACAAGGTGTTACATTTTCATTATTTGATCTGCATGCTTCTTCCTGTTTTGAAACAAATAAACCAAGACCAGGGTGATGAGATTGAAGTAGAGGCAAAAGTAAAAGGTAATTACAATTACTTTTCATCAATTTTTTATCAAAACAATTATATTTAATCAATGGAAGAGGTTGTGATGTGATCTTGTGTGTCATAGGCCAAAAACTCTGTGATATTCAGGTCCAACCAACTGAATTTCGTGGCAATAAGGAATATTGTTGGTATGCTCTTTGCTGCTTAAAATATATTCAATAAAATATATGTAATTTATTTTTTGTTGCTCTTTGGTGATGATATTACTTCTGGAGCAGCAGTAACTGCAAGAATTTCATACTGGATTTCCATAGAAGCTGCCCAAAGTGTTCATATAACCTCTGCTTAAGTTGTTGTCGGGATATCTTTCAAGGGAGTTTAGTTGGAAGTATCAAAAAACTTAACTGCAAATGCCCAAATAGAAGGAAAAGTAGTTTTCCTGGCATTCGCCTTTCAGATAAGAAATCTGTAAGAATCTCTAAGCAAAAATATGACAGTAGACATTTTGATTCTTCTGCATCATTGCATAGTCTGAAAGCTCCTGATGGCATTGTTCCTATATCATGCCCACCCAGAAAGTTTGGTGGTTGTGGTGATGGCTTTCTTGATCTGAGATGTATTTTGCCACTAAGATGGTTCAAGGAGCTGGAAATAAGTGCTGAAGAAATAGTCGGCAGCTATGAATTGCCGGAAGCCTTTGATACTTTTTCATTCTGCTCACTATGTCCTGGGACAGATTATGAAGCTAATGGTGTGAAGCAGTTGCAAGAGGCTGCTAGGAGAGAGAATTCAAATGATAACTTTCTGTTTTACCCAACTATCATGAACAATCATGGTGATAACCTGGAGCACTTCCAGAAGCATTGGGGTAAAGGCCATCCTGTAATAGTTCGAAATGTTCTTCACGATACTTCAGCTTTGAGTTGGGATCCGGTATTCTTGTTTTGCTTGTATCTTAAGAATAGTGTTGCCAAAGCTGAGAATGAGGAACTAAGTAAAACTACAGGTTGCTTGGACTGGTTTGAGGTTAGCTTTTTAAATTACATTACATGCCACATCAAATTATTAATTTTTTTGGATTTACAGGAAGATAAAATTGGTCGTCTTTTGTTCATTACTCCATCTCTCTCTCTGTCTCTCTATCACACATACACACATCCACAATCCAAATATAGGCCATTCATGAAAGTGCATTTAACCTCCATGTTCATGCTCACGTTTTTTTTTCTTTTAAATTTTCATGAGAATTGGTATTTAAGCCCTTTGCATTTTGTTTCACTTCCTTCTAGGATCTTAAGTGAGGTGAAGGCTATAAACAATTTTACCTTTTATTGTGGTAGGTTGAAATTGGTATTAAGCAGTTATTTTTGGGGTCATTGATGGGGCTGGCACAATCTAGTATGTGTGATGAGAAGCTGAAACTGAAGGGCTGGCTTTCTTCTCATATATTTCAAGAACAATTCCCAGATCATTATACCGAAATCATTCAAGCTTTACCACTTCCAGAATACATGGATCCTGGAAGTGGTCTTTTGAACATTGCTGCAAGGTTGCCACAAGAAATCATAAAGCCTGACCTAGGCCCATGTGTCTCTATATCATATTGCAGTGGGGAGGAACTTGTGCAGGCCAATTCGGTGACAAAATTATGTTATAGTTTATGTGATGTGGTATGTCTATTTCTGCCCGTTGCTTGTATCTTGGTCAATTTATCCTATCTCTTAAAACTTGGGATGATGCACGTTTTATTCAAGTTATCTAGACTCAAATGTTAATTACTCTTGCACAATGATATTTGCTAGTGAACAGTTTACTGTATGTTGTGAACATTCTGATAAAACTAACAACTCAGCCAAGTGCACATTTCATAGTGGAAAATAAATTTGAGTCATGCTTAATCTTGCATATTGACATGCATCATAATCTCTTACACATATTTCATGCTATGCACTTCTTTTACAATTTTCAAAATATGATTTGACCAAGGCATCGTGTGTCTAATTGATCATCTGTGTATCCTTGTCCATATAACTTTCTACCTTTACAAAATGTATGTATATTCTGACAAATCTTATCATCCCTTAGAAGGATAATGTTGTAAGGTGAGCTCAGCAAGAAATTATTTGAAATGTTATCATGGAGTTCACTGAGCATCAACTATTGGGGATATGATTTGAAGTTGTTCAAAGTGAAATATGAACCTTCCAGTAAAGCACAACCTTAAATCTATATCTATTCTTGTGAAAACCCCTTTAATACATACATTTATCATACTTGCTGAAAACTCCATTGATATGTAAGTAATCTTGTTCATTTATTGTCTTTCCTTTTCCCTCTTTCTATCCCAGGTTAATGTTTTGGCACATGCTACAGATGCTTCTGTGTCCATGAAGCAGCTTAATAAAATAAGAAAGTTAATGAAAAAGAAAAAATCTCAAGACCAAAAGGAGCTTGCTAATACTACTCTTGATCAAAAGATGGCTTATAAAGTCAAGGAAAAATCTCCACCACATGGCAAAAATATGGAAGAAGTAGGAATGAATGAAATGATTGGTAAAGAAATGCATGCTTATGACGGAGTACCCAAAGTTTCCCGATTACCTTCTGCTGTGCATGATGCACATGATTTAGGTTTCAAAGATAGAGATGTTTACCATGATAAGGAAGATAGCTCTGACTCTGATTCTGATTCTGATTGTAATTCAAATTCTGAACCTGCACTACTTCCATGCCATACCATTCACAACACAGAAGCATTAGAAAAGCAGGAAGTGTTTGGGGAAAGAACTGACTTGGCCAAGTCATGCGGTGCAGAATGGGATGTCTTCCGAAGGCAGGATGTTCCAAAGCTTATGGAGTACCTTAGAAAGCATTCAAATGAGTTTGGTCACACGTGTGGCTTTCGAAAGCATGTAAGACCAGTTCCGAGAGTTGACAATGTGCTAGCAGAATGGACATAATTCTGATTTTTTACCCTCCTGCAGGTGGTTCATCCAATCCTTGATCAGAATTTCTTTCTTGACACAAGTCACAAGAGAAGGCTGAAGGAGGAGTATGGTGAGTTTACTAAGTTTTGTTTATCTCATTATATTTGAGGATAAACTTACTGAAATTTCTTTCCACTTCATATTGCTACTAGAAATTGAACCCTGGACTTTTGAGCAACATGTTGGAGAAGCTGTTATAATTCCAGCTGGCTGTCCATACCAGATTAGGAATGTTAAGGTAACGTATACTACTGATGTCTTTGGTCTTGAATAATTATTATGAAATTTACTGTTATGAATGATTTTATGTGTAAATTATCAATAATTTTATATTTGCTCCATATGTGTCTTCATTTATTTCAATTTTATGAATTACAAGTTATTTCTTTGCCAAGAAATTTTACCAATTTATATGGCTACGAAGATTTTTTTTCCCCTGACAACCTACAGTCCTGCGTTAATGTGGTTTTGGATTTTGTTTCACCGGAAAATGTGACCAAGTGTATCCAGTTGATAGATGAACTTCGTCTGCTTCCAGAAGATCACAAAGCAAAAGCAAAGAAGTTTGAGGTAAACTTTTTTAAAATGTAACTCTAGTTAACAGTTTTCATTTTCTGTAGTAATGTGAATATGTTGTGCTTTTGCTCCAAAATCAAGGTTGAGAAGATGGCCCTGTATAGGATTAGAGCAGCAATAAGAGAAATTCGTGAGCTTACATGTGCAGAGTAAGTTACTTTTGTGGTAATATTAAGTCTTTATCTTGCTGTTAGCATGATATTTCATCAAACTCCACTAAAATTACAGCTAATAACATAATGCCTCATTCTTGAGTTTAGGTCCAGTGCTGAGCTCAGTGAGTAGTTGAGAATTGGAGAAAAATGTCATGTGATCTGAGGGATTCTCAGTTTCTGGCTATTGCTGTGCTCTATGGTTTTTCCTTTTTTAAAGCATTGCTCACTGCATGCGGAAATTTTGATGCAATTGTCCATTCTCTCCCCCCATTGGATATGGAAGTCAAATCATGTGGAACTAGGCCACTTTACTGCAACTGACTTTGTAAATGTGTAATATTGATCAACCATCTACTTATTACAACCGAAGTCAGATGGAAAATCATTCATAGTATTTTACCTTTTTGTTCAATACAACCAGAGCTAATTTCTCTAATAAAGCAATCACCGATCTTTGTCAATCTGATGCTCCTTTTGTTGAGCAACCATTTGTTCAAAAGAAAGGCAATGTGGAAATTGTTTTAGTTTTCAACTGAGTTGTTCCTGTAATGGATGGAATATTTTTTTATTCAATGATTCCTCTCCTTCCATTTCTGAAATTTAGTTTAAGGCATCAAGTCAGAGTTTTATGCATTGACAGAAAACAAGAGGTTTTCGGCTGTGGCCCGAGTAAATTTGCTCCATGATTATGTTTAATTTTGTTCCTGGCAAAGAACAGAAATAAGGAGTAATTTTTCAGCAATAATCAATAGAAGAGAACTAGAAATTGCTATTTGTTGATGGCTACTATCCTTGCACAATTCAAGCACCATTTCATTAATTAAGGGTCGTTTAGTATCGTTTTTGTTTTCTGTTTTGTGTTTTCGTTTAGTCTTTTTTATTTTTTAAATTAAAAACAAAAACATGTTCAGTAAATTTTTTTTTTTTTTTTTTTTGAAAATTGAAAATAAAATTTTGAAAAATTTTAAAAATTGTTGAAAACATAAAAATGATATTTTAAATTTTTTGAAAACAATTTAAAACTGTCATTACATGGATACTGTTCACAAAATTACAATTAAACTCTTTTAATGACGCTAATTTATTATATTAATAAAATAATATTTTTGTGGTATAAACATTATATTAATAATATAAATAATATATTATAAATAATAATATATTAATATAAATATATTATTAATAACAAATGGAATCTTAGAGTTTTAATCACTTTCCCTTACATGTTTTTGTTTTTTACATTTCGAAAACAAAAACTATCTCAACGTGTTTTCAAATTCAATAAATTAAAAATAAAACAAAACAAAAGTTTCGAAAACATAAAGTACACAACAAAACCAATCGACCACTACGTGTTGGTACATGAATTGTTTGTCCCTCCATAACAATTTAAAGGAAAAAAAAAAAAGTTTGACACTTTATTTCTGTGTTGCCCCTCTGTGAGTTTTGGGGGCTAAAGATATAACAGCAATGAATAGCGGAAAGTAACAAACTAACAAATAATTACAGAAGGATTAAATTTCACATTAGCTCAAAATTTCATTGAAAAGATAAATACTACTTATGATGCTTTTCAGGACCGGTATATTCTAGGGTCTCAGCTCTATCAAAATTGTTTTCTAGAAACAGAAACAAATGATCCATTGAGAGAATGCATTCAGCTAACCATACTTCGGATAATGTTTTATGGAGCCATCAGCCCATCAATAGTGTAGGAAAGCGATTTTGCCCAGTCAGCTTTGAGTAGCAATGTCTGTAGCGTTTGCATTACATTATATCCTGGATCAAGTTTCTTTTGCCAACCCTACATTTTAAACAAGAACCAAAATGTGATGATGAAATAATTCAATTTATCTGAAATGGCAATAATGATTATTTTATTTTCATATTGTAAAGACATTTCAGCAAGTCACGCCTAGGACTATTATGAAACAATCCTGAGATGGGAATACGTCCCCTTTCTTAACTTCCAGACTCAACTAGTCTGGCAGATTTACTCAACAACTATGATGACAGCTATTTATTTTGTTTCCTTCAGATAAAAACATAAAGCACAATACATAAACATGAGCAAACATAAAGACAAGAAATTCTTTCCTAGCAGGTAAATAAGAGCAAAAATAGGGGGGCATGGAGTAGACGTCTCAAATGCTTGGTCAAGGTTTCAAGGTGAAAGTTTGGATGCACATAAAATGAAGACAGAAGTTACCTCAAGAACCAAAGTTGTGACCATCACAGTGCATACATTTCCATCAATATTGACTTTATGACGCCTTACTTTCTCAAGCAGTTGTTGCATGCATTCACCCGGATGGACTAGATCACCCTCTGGAGTACCCCAAAAAGTGAATGCTTCTTCTACTTCCTGGTGAAACATGGTATTAGAAAACTAAGAATAAGAACACAAAGAAGATATAGAATTAAATAACTTGTATGAAAATGGAACGGTTCAGAGGGGTAGAATAAAGATATTCTGACTTGGAATAGAGATGACACACCATTAATGCATTCATCTGAAATGAAAAACCAATAGAACAAGGGATGACAATCGAAAGCATTTGGGTAGACTAAATGGGAAAATAAGGAAAAGAACATAACAACAAAAGCATTTTCCTTAACTCCTCACTGCCCTAAAAGCCTTTGGGTTTGAGAACAGTTTGGGTTACATCTATATACATCACCTCAATAAAAGCCTTAGGGTTCGGGCAGTTTTGTCGCTGCGATAGTCTGAGTGTGCACTCTGCAGCAGTGCGGCCATCTCTACGGGCAACAGCCTTAAAAAATTCCAATAAATTTACACGGTCACCCTTAGAAAGTTCAGCAGTCATGCCTACATCAAGGAAGATGACATGAGGCTTTGATTTAAATAGCCGTTTTCGAGAAGCCTTGCTTTGAGACACCCGAACAAGGATATTTCCAGGATGCATGTCAGCATGAATAAAGTTGTCCACCTGAAAGAAGAAAATTATAATCTCTTGGAAACCATAATCGTTATACTTTATTTCTAAAACAGTCAAGATGATGGGAAAAAGGGATCAAACATCATCAAGTACATATCACATATGAATGTTACCAGAAGCGTATGCAAACAAATTAAAAGTAGTTACCAAAAGCATCTTTAAAAGTGCATGAGTTCCAATATGAGCAAGTGCAATCTTAATCCGGTCATGTCCTTTAAGTCCATCAACATAATGTGCGACACTTTCCCCTTGCTCATAAGTTTCCACTAAAACAGCAGGATGCACAAGTGGATACACAGGCTTAGGAAAAGAAACATCCTTCCATCTTCGGAAATTGTATATAAAACGGTTCAAATGGGCAGCTTCCCTTGCAAGATCAACTTGAGACATCATAAAAACAGCAAACTGCTGGACGCTCTCGTCCAATCTCAACCAGTTCAGTGTTGGAATGAACTTTGATAACTTTGCCACTGTGTTGATAATCATAAAATCTCTCCTAATTGATTCACCAACACCAGGATGTCTAACCTTTACAGCAACTACCATAGGCTTGACCTGTTGACCAGGATAGCGGAATCTCAAAGTAGCCCGGTGCACCTGAGCTATACTTCCAGATGCCACAGGTTCCTCTTCAAAACGCTCAAAAATTTCAGAAAGCTTGCGGCCAAATGCTCTTTCAATAGTTTTCTTTGTGTAGGCAAAGCTATGTTCAGGAGCTTTGCTGTGAAGCTCTGAAAGCTTGGTGCATAAATCTCTAGGGAAGAGATCTGGTCGTGTTGCTGCCCATTGACCCCACTTTATGAATGCTGGACCTGCCTTTTCAAGTGTGCGATGCACAACCTCAAGCCACATTTTCCTGAATTGGGGACCACAAGAGTCGGCAAATGGTGCCATTATTATGCTAGGAGAGAATAAAACTGCAAGATACAGAGCCCTCACCAGCAGTATAACACCTTCTACTACCGATAATAGTAAAGAGGAAACAAAAGCATGCCCATCTTGTGCACGCATAGACAAAGAATTCTGTGATGGGTAGTAATCTGTCTGTACTAAAGTCCTCTGTGCCAATGCCACTTGTCCACATATCAAGCCAAAAATACCAGGAACTATCAAGTGTGAGCGGGACAAAGCTAAGCTGACTGCTTGAGCAATCCTGCTTATTTGGGGTAAAGTACGACCAGTGGCAGAACATTTGTGGGTAAGCCTTTTCCAAGCAACTTGGGCATGATGAGTTACTGCACCACTTGCAGAAAGGAAGGAATGGTTCCTGGCAAAATAACCTCGACACAACCCTTCCTTGGTATTCTGCAGTAAGAAGGGAGGCTTTCCTCCAATGTTATACCTATAATTGGAGTAAACTCTACATTGTGGCAAACGCAACCCAATACTAACAACTGTTCCATACTTCCTAAATTCTGAATAACTCCTTCTCTGGTTTGAAATAGCAGATTGCGCAGCTTTCCTAACAAATGTCAAAAGTCTGCATCCCAACAGTTCTCTCATCATTAACCATATTAATTCTATAAAGCTTAGAAGCTATTCTAAATTTCTTACAAAGAAAGGTAAGTATACAAAATCCATTTGTCAATTTCACACAATATGACAGCAAGAAATCTACTTTCATACCTCCCAAGTTGTTGGAAACATATTTTTCTAAAAGGTTCAAACCTCTAATGTAATAATTAATTGTGCTATCATTAAATTAAGGAAATCATTACATTTTGCTACACCCAAAGAACACCAGAATAAACCTTCTTAGTTCTTAGATAAAAAAAAAAATCACCTTTTCTAAAACAAAAAAAAGAAAAACTTTAAAACCCTTAAACCAAAGCTCAGAGAGAAGCTAATCCCCCAAAAAACCCAGACCCAGGAAACAATAACCCAAGCCAAAAAAAAAAATTTTTAACAAAAAACCAAAAAAAAAAAAAGAAAGGGTAAAGAGAAGAACCTGGACATGGCGATGTAGAAAGAGAAGGCAAAAGAGGGAGCTTTGAAGAAGCTAGCGTATGAAGGCGGTGAATAATAGAAGAAGAAGCAGAAGACGAAGTTCTTGAAAGCATTTTCTCATGGATGATTCTGTTCTGATTAACAATAAAAAATTCGGATGTGTTTTTAATGCCCAAACTTCATTCTTTTTTCGTTTTCGGTAAAACCTAGCGGCGCCAGAGGAAGAAGAACAAGTTGAGATCTGCGTCTGACTCAATGGCCCTAAGATTGGAGAAGACGTCAGCTCAGGAATTTTTGGGCCCACTTTTGATTGGCCCTCGTGGGCTTCACGCAATTGCCTTATTTTGTCTGGCTTGTCTTAAATCGTATTTAAAGTAAATTACTTGAGAGGAAAGGTTGGAAAAGGTCAGAGAAACTCCGCAGATTTTGGAAAGGCCAAAAAATCCTTGGTGCCTAATGGCTAAATTGGGGAAGTTTCAAATTCTTGCTTTATTCTTCTAAGTTACTGAAAAATCTTAAATTTTTGAGTCTTGATGGTCAAATTTGCTGGCTAATTTTTCAAGAACAACTGAATTTTATTACAACAAATTAAAAAGATGTAGTGTGATATATATATATATATATATATTTTACAAACCAAGTTGCAATCTAAGAATAAAAAATTATAAATATTAAAATTTAAAATTTAAATTCATTAAATATTACTTTTTTAAAAATATTTCGTCAATGAATTTAACCAAATTCAAGTTCTTAATATAAAATTATTTTACTATGATTTAAAACAAATCAATAATCTATATTAGGTAATTAAGGCCCAAAAGTTGTGGTCTCATCAAGTTTAATTTCAATTCAACTCAGTGGTCATGGTTTGCCCTATGTAGAAACACTATCCAACACACATCCAATCTTTTTGAATGTGCTCTTCCTAATTTCACTATCTCATGATTCTGACTTTAATTAAATTCAGACAAAATGAATATGAAAATTAAATACAGAACAAAATAAGTTCTGAAACAACAAACATCCTTCTTCATAACCCTACCAACCTATTCTGTACATATCCTTTTTTAAGTGAATAAGAATTTATCACAAAATCTACCAATTATTGAGGATTAAATATTGCACTGTAAGCTATGATCCATCAGCTAGCGTTTCTTCATTGCCGGTTCCCTCTGAATTGAAATACAATGCAGCAACGGGAAGTCGCAGCCCATTTTGAGCAACAAATTGGCGAGTACTGAAGTTGGCACGGGCATCTGACAGTTGACTCCCTCCTTCCACTGCTCCTTCCTGCTTAAAGAGAACCAAAATATACCTGTGAATTCCTGTAGTAGGCCGTGGTCCCATGTTAGAAACTAACTCCCTTCCTGAATTATGAAAAGTTAGATATAGTTTAGAATCAAAAGTTGTTTTAGATTTGACCCAAATTGTGAATTAGATGAAATTTAGATAGAGATTTTTAAATTATCTTGAATCTCTATGTTTTCCTCATAATAATCAAGAACAATGTTTTCAGCTGAAAGAGTAGAATGGAAAAGCTATATACCTTTGGTTGCATCATGTGCCTGAGGAATATCTACAACAATCCTGCAGCAGAAACATGTGAGTTGTACCAAATTTTATGTATTAGTTACATGAATATTCCATTCTTATTACAAATGCAGTGGATAAGCATAATAATGTAATTAATTACCAGTGGAGCCACCCCCTTAATTACCAGGGGGATATCAGCATCAACCATAACCTACATATTATTGCCACAGTACTATATCTTGAATAACTGACATAGTTATAAGAAAATTAGAGAAAATTTTAGCAAGAATTACATACGAGAGTGTATAAACAGCTGGAGATGGAAAGGCCAAGAATTTGAACATAAGGTTTATCAGAAGCAACACATGGCTTGATGTCACAGCCATTAGTGACCTGCTTGGTGCCCTACGGGACAATAAAACTCAGTGGCAGGACTGAACATGTCGAGCACATCTCCGATCACTCTGCCTACAACCAATGGCTCAACGGACCAAACCATAGCCTCTTGGACTAGACCTCAATTTGGAGTTTTTCCTTTCGGTTCTATGTTCTAACCTTTTTTCTAATTGTTTTTGGGTAATAGAAGTAACGAAGTGGCGTTAGATTTGTCTATGAGTGACACGTTGAGGGACAAGCTTGGAGAATTTACACGTTGCCTTGTCTACTACTGAAAGTGCAAAGTAGGCACGTATTGGTAATTTGGGCATGAGTAGAGTACATCGAGACTGAAATATCCTCTTTTCCTCCTATATCTGTCTTATTACAGCATTTGTTCTTGTTTTAGCTGATGTTTTATCTCAAGGGTTAATTAGACATTTCCTCATTACCAAACCTCAAAGTTTTGCGATGAAAGAAGCTTCTAAATTCACCACCAAATTTCTCATTATGCCTCGTCAATTTTTTTTTTAAAATATTCACATAACAAATATCAAATTTATCCTTTAATAAATTAAAATTTTACCATCTTCTCCTTCTTTCCCTTTTCTTCTTTCTTTTTTTTTCATTTTTCATCATTTTTTTCTTGTACACTAAACTTTAAATCTTTAAAACTGAAACCAAAATTTTAAAATTTTTGTTAAATCTTACAAATCATGTAAAAAAGATAGAAAATGAGAAACAATAATGAGAAAAACTATTTCAAAGAGGTAATGAAATCTCACCCAATTGAACTTTATTTTTTAATGTTTTTAAAAATTTATTTTTGAGAATACAATACCTTTAACTTTTTATATGATATATTCTCAAAAATAAATTTTTAAAATTTATGTTATTTTTTAAAAATAAAATTTTTCGAAAAATTTTTTTTGAAAACTTTAAAGGTTTCTTGAAAATAAAATTGAATTTTCAAAAACTTTAAAAGCTTTGAAAAATGTATTTTCGAAAGTCTTTTAGACTTATCAAAAATATATTTTTTAAGAGTCTTAAAGATTTCTCGAAAATCTAATTTTAAAAAGCTAAAATTTTACGGTTGAAATGGGAGAGAAGAAAAAATGTTAAAGGCACGAAAGAAAAGTCAATTATTGAGGGATGGAGTATATTTAATAAAAATAAAAAATTTAAATTTAAATTTAAGGTATATTTAATAGTGGAATATATAAAATAAAAATTAGAATGTAAATAGAATTCCCCGCGTTGAAAACTATCAACAAGACTTTGGAAGTGAGCAATTACCATCTACAATCAAACTGCTCCAATCCACTCAAGGAAAGTGGGGAGTCTGGGTTTATGTTCATAGACAGACTCTAAGGATAATTACATGAAAGCAACTAAAAATAAACATCATCAACCATAAATGTTAATCGTAGAACACAACTCGATGGCACAATCAGATGCCACTGTTGGCTTAGTCAAATGGAAAATTGAGAAGACTACATGGAGCATTAATCATTCATTTGGACAGTTCCAATTTTCATTATTTAGTAGTATAATCTCTGGCTTAATTTTTGGTCCCTCTAAGAAATTATGGATAATAAATTTAAATTTTTAGATGAAATTATAAATCAAAGTTTTTTCAAGAAGTGATAATTTTAATAAAAAATATTTAATGAATTTTTTTTTACATTCTCATTTTATTTTTTAATAATTTACAAAATAATAAGGAGAATTATATTATTTAACATTAATTTTTATCGAATTCATTTATTTTTTATTATAATTAACAAAAATATCTTTTTTATTTATTTTTCACCTAAAAATTTTCATTTAATTTAATAAAGTTGCCTTTTTTATTTTATGTAAAATTCTATCGAATAATTTTTCAATATTCTACAGCACTCATGCATAAAATTTACCAAACACTATTTTAGCTTCTTTTTACAACACTTTTAGAAGGGTTTTACTCTAAATAGCACTTCTTATAAAAACTCCAATCAAACTTATAGACACATATATTTTATATGGGGATTTTTCAAAATTAATTGGTCTTTGAATTTTAATTTTGATTGTGCAAATGGACCTTAATTGAAAAAGTGAATTTTGGACTCAAAGATTAAGTCTTAAATTTTATTTGTATTTTAATTTTTTGTTTAATTTTTATTTTTTTAGTCAAAAGAATCAAAGTCAATTGGTAAAAAAAAAAAAGATAAAAATTTAAAAAAACAAAAAAAGAAAAGAAAAATGTAGGATTTTGCATGAAAAATCTTGGATTCAATTCAACTATTGGATTCTATTTCAGATTTTAACTTTAATAGTTGGATAATATTGGAAAGATTTAGAGTTCAATTTATTGAAAAAAGGAAGATTACACAAATAATAAAATTTAAAAAGAAATTCTATACTCGATTGAATTAATTTCTTTCAAATTGAAAGGGATTCAATTTATATATAAGGACCTTGAATCTATAATTAAATTGGAGCCTAACAGTAATTTACTTTAAAATCAAATAGAGGTTATTGAAAAAAAAAATTTTGGGTAAAGTTTTGAATTAACAAGGAAGAAGCAATAAAGCAAAAAAATTTGTAAAAAGATCCTATTAGAGTTTTTGGAAATAAGGTTAATATTCATTGTAGGAAGTATTAGTTTTTTAAAGATAAAAAATTGTTGGAACCCGTGATTCATTGAGGTAGTATTTGCTTTCATTTTTTTTTTTGTGATTTTTTTATAACTTTTGTAATATTTAATTTTTTACTCTTATTTTTATATTTATAGCATGGTATTTATTTTTGTATGAATTTGGATGACTAATATTATATTTGCATAATAATTTATTTACCTAATATATTTATTTGCATGATTAATATTTTTATTTGTGTGATTACATATAATTTGATTGCATAATTATTAATATACTTAATTGCTTAATTATTAATACATTTATTTGTATGATTATATATTTAATTACATGTTTATTTGCATGATTTACATTGTTAATTGCATGATTATATATTTAATTGCATGATTATCAATTTATTTATTTGTGTGATTGTATGATTATTAATATATTTATTTGCATAGTTATTTATTATTATTGTATAATTTTATATTTATTGCATGATATGATATTATATGTTATTGCATGATTAATATTATATTAATTTGAATGATATTTAATTGCATGTTTTTATATTTATTGTGTGCATAATTGCATGACTATACATAATTATTAATATATTTGTGTGATTATATTTGATTTCATGATTATATATTTGCATGAATGGTTATTAATATATTTGCATGGTATTTTATATTATTGCATAATAATTAATATATTTGCATGATATTATATATTTACATTATTGTTATTATTGCATGATAATTGATATATTTGCATGACATTCTTGCATGAATATTTTAGTATGATTTAGGCATGATATTTGAGATGATCTATAATATATTTGCATAATAATTTTTACATGGTATGCTTTAATATTTATTGCATGATTGCTTGATATTTTGATAGAATTTTTTTGTATGACCATGTGCTATAAATAAAAAAAAAAGAATTGGAATTGTTTGATTTGCATGATAAAATCATCTTTGATTAAGGTTTAATTTAGATAACACATAATTAATTTGGTACCAATTTTGGGCGTAAAAAGGTGCTAAT